TCAGGACGGATCAAGAGCAACCTCGCGGCCATACCTTGCTCGCGGCTCTACGGGAAAGCTGCTATATCCACCGACAAGCAGCAGAGTTACTGCATACGATCTTGATCCACTAGATGTCGAGATGTTCTCTCCTGTGGTCATGGTGCTCTCCACTGGGGAGAATTGGCTCGGCAAATGATAACTAAAGGAGACATTCTGTAACTTGCAAATGAATTCCTACTGCATTTAAGATTGTCTGTATTATATATATTGGCTTTCTTGGATTTGATGGATTTTCTTCAAAAGATATTGAGCCCGTATTAGGCCTGCTGGTGATACGAATTCATTTGCAAGTGCAAACAAAATTCAGTCACCCATTCTCAACTAAGACTATCGTAGCCCTTGGCAAGGCTGACTTGTGACACAGTAGGCCTATGAAGGGCCAGGACATTTTCCAATGGTACAGGGTGATTCTTTCGTGTTAGTACCCTAAAAAACGTGAATAACTCAGGCAGGGTACTAAAACGAAAGAATCACCCTGTACTTGATTAGTTTTCTTTGAAATATGCCTAAGATTTTGCATTTGTTGGGTTTTCCCCATGATGCATTCTCCATGTAGTCTCCACCTGTAGTAGACATTGGTCAAGACTTGACTGCCACTTATTTTCAGTATCAACATAAATCTGTGGCTACTGCCGAAAAAGTGAAAATTCTACAATTGAATTGACCATTAGTAGTTGAAGTGGCTGGCATTCCCCCCACAGCTAAGAACAAAAAGAATCACACCAGTACATTGAATTGCATTTGCTGCTGTTCATTTGCTGCTATTACTCTAAAATGGAAGGAAACACTGCCCTTACCCTTTCCTTTTATGCCAGTGGCCTACGTCACTACTGTCCATTAAAGTATCAAGAACGGAAGGACACATGCAAGAATTCATAGTTGTATTAAAGGGAAGACAGAGATGATGGTTAGCCCTCATGACTGAGACTTCAGTATTCTACTATTTTTAGGATGAAACATCTCCATTGCCTGGGTAGGAACTTAACTGTGTAGAACTGAAATTTGCCATTGTGAAAGAAGTTTACTTTGGCCATTCAAAAGAACTTGGGGTTGCAGATTCCGTAATTTGGAAAAATAATTTGATCTTTTGCTGAAAGTTGATGAGAATGCATCATGGTTGAATGCCATCAAAGCATGCCAGTCAGTCTCATTGACTGAATAACTCAAAAAGTTTTATTCAAAAGGGACTGTCAGTTTCATCCAAACTTTTGAGAATAAGCTGAAATTGCTTGTTGGGCTAAATCAGGGGTGTCAAACTCAAATCGGTCAGCGCCGGCGTAAGGAATGGGACGTCTACGAACGCCCGGCGTGGGTATTTTAAAGTGAATTTAAACACGACTGTGAGTTAGGTACGCCTTTTAAAGTCTTCGTCTGCCGCCCGGCCTACTTGGTGGAGTGCGGGCCGGATCCGGCCAGCGGGCCGTATGTTTGACACCCCTGGGCTAAATGAGTACCTGGAGAGGTTAGGAATCAGCCTCAACTCTAATAAGCTACTTGAAAGGAATTAAGCCAAAGAAGGGAATATTTATCCATATTATCCCTTTGAGGAGGAGGGGACAAGGGATCTCCAGTGATTAAGTGGAAGAGAATCAGCCTCAGGTATCTCATACTGTTTTGTCTCCAGTCAGGAAAATGGAGCACTCATTTTCTAGTAGAAGTGGGGATTCCTGTACTGAAAGCTTTGAAGAATGTGCTAGAAGCAGTCACTTCAAATTTTAGCCTTACCTTGATTTTCTGTGCAACCAGAGGCAGACACAGGCATTACATTGAAGTTTAATTTATAATTAACACTTTGACTGTCTTTCAACCGGTCAGCATGTTGCATGGCAAATCCACTCATATATTCTGTATTATTGTGGCTGCAGTCTACAGCCTTTATGCTCATACTGTGGCCTCCTACTGTAGACTCCATGCCACTTTACAAAAAAATTCTGACATCTGTGCAGTTGAAGAATTCATAAGGCTACAATAGCATACACAGTTGTGGACAAGTGGTTTAGCCAATAAGTGATTTGCCCTCAGGGACAACAATTCACTGAACCGAAATTGGGCTTGGCAGTCAAAATGTTGAAAGGAAGAGTTTGAATTATTTTTTTTTTATGATGTTCTTACCAAGTTGCAGCCTAAACCATTCATGAATTCAGAGGTCCCGGTCTTAATAATTTCTATTTAGGCCTATATTATTATGTTTGGTGGTCCATGAAAGTGAAGGGGTGCTGCCAATATCTCATTGCCAAAGAAGTTATTGCCATTCGGTAGAAAAGGTTGGGAACAAGTGGTATACGGCATTAATAAGTTTGGATAAGAACCTTGAGATGAAGAATCCCTTACTCCCCAACTCTGTTCTTGGGAAGGTATTTCTGTAGATTCTTAGCCCAGGGGTGGTTGACTGATATTCAGCAACCTTTGGAGCATAATGTCTTGAAAGCCTTGTTCCTTGAGTCAATCACATCGGCTTCATAGCTGAGTAGGAACATCACCCCCATAATCCACTTTTTTATGCTGAGCATCTGAATAAAATTATTGTCTAAAATTCTCCTTTTTGAACCAAGCTAGAATTTCTGAACTTCTCTGTGGCCTGCCATGATGATAACCAAGACTGACATTCTCCGACTCCTAGTAAGGTGTGCTTCTTTGCATATCCTGATATTTGTGCATGATACACTCATACTCAGTCATGGACTGAACTTGGAGGGAAGTGTGGAATCATATGCCACATCAGCAGGTACCTTGCCAATGTGAAATTTTGTGAAGCTATTAATGGGAGGATCAAGAAACAAGGTGGAAGCTAGTCCATTTGAATCTTCAATTCACAGAAACCTCTTTCTCACCATTTCTGGTGAGTGGACTGGAAAGATGATTGCTAAATGGGGTGATGGCATTAAGGAAATCTTCATTGATGCTCTTGACCAGTTAAGTCTCAGTAACCGGTTGAGAACCAGAGGATGATGGAATTCTGAAGAATAATCATGACAGTGCAACTGAGGCAAATAGTTCCATTGGGATGATGTAATGACAGCAAGTGAAAGCTTGAAATGACCAGGGGTTCATGTGGAAAGCCCTGTTCTTCCACAAACATGGAGGCATAAGGGTTTATGACAACCCCAATCAGCTCCAGCATGAGAAAGAATCCTCATAATTCAGCATTGAATTCCAAAGAAGGCATTAATTGGTTTCAAATACAAAGGAGGCTTTCATTTATTGTCAATCCATATTCAGTCAATGAATACCAAGAAGATGAAGTGTACCACCACTGTGTGATTCAATGATTGGAACTTCCCTGATATCATTGAGAGTCTGTTCTGATAGCAAGATGCCATGTAAAAGCAGGTTTTCCAGAAATACAGGTATTGTCAAAGAGTACAAGAAGGACTTATATCTGTAAGCCATGTAACTGATTTGAGTACTGCTTATGTGATACTCTCTTTGCATGAGAGGGGTAGTGATACCATTATGTAGGTCAACTATTAAGAAATCAGGGGTAAATTTTTTTTTATGGGAAAATACTTTTGCAATGAATCTTGTATCTTATTTTCAGAATAATTTGTGAACTGTATAGGCTTTTTGCCTTTTAACTTTTCACCTTTTCTTGAGTTTATGAACATGAAGAATGTTCAATAAATCATGTTATTATGATCTGAGTATACAGGTACATATTTAATAAGAAAATCAGCTTTCAAATATGATTTGCTCTAACATTATAGGCTAGGCTGGCTCTGAAATGCTGACTTTATTTTCAGAGAGGTTATTAATGTACTCAGGAGCAGAGTGATGCAATCTAGAAACTACTGCTTTATTTCTTGAGGGGCTTGCACTGAAATGATGCAGATGACTCAATTTTTATTGGAGACAAACTTTGAATAGAAAAACAGAGCAAAATAAAGATATAATATGTATTGGGACTGAATACACAATTACTCTCTGTGGGTTACATCACTTAACTAATTGATTCCTCATTTAAGGGAGTGAGTAGAAGGGTATCCCACCTAGCTACTCAATTTGAAGTAAATATCAAACCTTTGTGTCTTCCAAGCTGGGAAGACATGGGTGCTTGTCTGGGAGGGCCATGGACACACCCCTATATTTGTGAGCATTCATAATTGTAATATCACTGCCAGTAATCTTGATAGTTTCTCAGACTGTGTTCCATCAGGATATGCCTCTTTTTCTTTACACCTTCATGATCAGCTCCAGGACTTCAGAGAAACTATTAAGAAGGCATTCAAGTATATTAACACATAGAAAACCTAATATGTGAAAACACAAAAATCTCAGTGATCTGTCCTAAATCTGTTAATATAAATGAAAGACTGAAAGTAGTACAATTTCTGGCCCATTTAAAGTCACGTTTCAACATCATGGTCTTACACCCCCTTGAACTTATTATTTTTATTTTCAGATACTGAAAATCCTGGGCTCAATCATACTTCAAAAATAGAATTTTATCTTAAGAGTTTTAGCAAATTTTACAAAAGGGAAATTTTATTATTATTTATATTTGAGCTGAACTTTTTCCATCTATATAGCAGTAATAATTATGGTTTCAGGTGCATGAAAATGGAGTGCCTAGAATCCATGGGCCAAATAGTATTTTTTTTAAAGCCATTTTATGCTTAGTATTTACTTGATATTTAATGGAAATCCTGTTTCTCTAGCCCCCCAGTCACTAAACATTAATATTGATGGACAGATTCTACATAATTGGCTCTTTTTTTATTACCTGCATGATCATTTTCAATACTTTAAATGTTAATGAGGAAATTTTCTCAGGCTCTCAGTTGACCCTTGTTTTTTTCACTAGCAGTGATTAATCTGCTTTTGCAATTTATGTATTCTATGTTCCACTTTTGAAGGTGTCACACTTTGCAACACATAAGAATTTGATAGTGCCTTTGGAAATAATCATTCTCACATTCTGATCCCTGGTCTGTACTTGAAAAAAAGAGGTGACTTTGTGGTTTCAGATGAATTCACAAGAAGTTGACCAGGTAGGCACGAGCTCTGGACCCATGCCTGGACCAGAGCGACCATTGCTACAGAGTGAGGGTGCTGATGATCTCACGTTTGCATCATCTTATTCCCGCTTGCATGCCAGGGAATTCCATCGCTTAAGAACCATCCCCATTGTTGTCGTCCAGATCTGCATCTGTGTATGTTTAAGTTCATCTCAGTAGTGACATTTTTCTTAAATCATGTGGTTGTTTCATTACTTCTGTTGTGCTTGTCCACATTTATTTCTGCTTTTACTATGGGCATACTGACTATGGTGCTTAATGTTAAGATTAAAGTATAGTTATTGCAAGTGTGATGTGGTCAAAATCTTTCGTTCTCGATGCAGAGTGGGTGTGGACAAAGGGAATGCATAAGATATGGTGCATTTAAAATTTATGACAAGTATGTGGATCCTGCACTACCTTAGTTTCCTGCACGTCAATGGCCCCAACCATTGGCATAGACAGGGTTTCATTTTCTGGATGGCCAAAAAGATTCTAGGAGGAGGATTCTCTTACCCCATAAAAATGGTTAACTGGAAAGTGGTAGCTTTAGCCCCTTCATGTAATTACTTATGGTTGAATTTGTAAATGAATAGACATAAATAGACATGACAAAACTCGCCATTCACTTCCCACTTCATTTTGTATTGTTACATTGGATCTCAGATTTATTGCAAGTCAATTCACCTGGTAGACATTTCATTCTCTCATGACTTTCCTGGTTTTCATCCTGAATTGCTGAAAATTTTCTTAATTTTTCACTTGTTCAAGCAAGTCTGATTCAATACTCAATGCTCAGGCAGAATTCATCAGCCTCAGAATTGTCATTTTTAAAATGTATGAGCATGTCAATCTTTTTTTTATTCAACCTGTTTTCAGAGTTCAACCAGGTACCAGAGCAACTAAATACTCACTGAGGGTACACTTGTTGTAGGATTCGCAGCATGCAGGAACAAAGAATCAGTTTGGATCGGCCATATTGGTATTGACCATTACCAATCCTGGCTCATCACTTGATATTAGGGTTGCCATCTTTGAATTTTACAAAATATGGATGTATAGACTGTGGAGGTATGAAAATATGGACAACTATTCAAAGTATATTTGTGCATGTGAATATGCTGCAAATACCCTCAGCCACCTTAAGCCAAGTTGTCAATCAATATAATGAAGTGTGGCCTACTACTTTTGACCAGTAGAAAAGAGTGGTTTTAGCTGCTATTATTAAGCATTATTAACTGACAAAAAATCTGTAAAAAGTTAAAATATGGACAAAAGTGTCCATTTTCAGACCAGTTAGCAGTATGGACATTGCATTTGAAATATCTACTGTCCATGCTAATTATGAACAGGTGGCAACCCTACTTGATCAGCTGGTACTGATACAAAGTATTGGTATCAGTGCATCCCTTGTTTTAATGACCATAACAGATTCTTTTTAGATAGGGCTGCTTGACTGGATTGTATGAAAAATCCAATCAAGTATTGACAAAAACCATTCAAGAAACATTTGTATGGAACATGGCATCAAAGAAAGATCAGCTGCCATTCCAGTAAAATTGAAAAAAAATTAATAAAATTTCATAAATCCATGTTGGGGTGGGGGGCCAAGAGAAGCTGATGGTAGGTCCTTGGCATCCCCTGCCTGTTTTGGCTATGCCTCTGGTCCCAGCCCTAGAAGTTCCTCCATCTCCTTTCCATTCAAAAATCATCCATTGAAAAAATAGAAGAGTATGGTTTTACATTGTATTAACTTAATTGACTGTTTTTCCTGATACTCAGGTCTTGCTAGTGGTGCTTGTGTTTGCAATCCCAGGAATCTGTGCCCATGACAAGTGTCATCTGTCTTCATTCTCCATTGCCGCCTATATCCACATCATTGTTTGGTGTCTTTTATGGGTCAGTTTTGATGTTTTCTACTTACTGATTATGAAGTGTGATGCTCCAAAAAAAATATTTCATCATTTATAAAACTAGCTCATTTTTTAAACTAATCAGCTAACCCCCATCTACAGTATCTCTGCATTTTTTCTGCCCTTTGAGCAAATATGTGAAGTTTGTGGCTCTAATCAGATTGCAGATCACAGGATGTACAAGGAGCATGAGCGGCATCGAAATCATGGTTACCTGGAGTTGCATCGTATGACAAATGCCCTTCATAAGGCTCCCAAGTACATCTTCTCTGCAGGTTTGGAATTTCCCATCATCATTGACTGATACTAGAGTATCTTCACTATTGACAAGACTTTGTCAAAGAGTCTTTTTATGATGTCAGGCAATGCCTTGCTGGTGATCTTGATGAGCATATGGAGGGATTACTGCCTTGATTCTCCAACCTGTCCATTCAAGCATTCCCTCTCAGATGCTGATTATGTTGCCATTGTGGCAACCCTGGAGGTTGCCTTCACTTTTCCTTTCTATGCCATCTATTTGCGTATGTTTCAACTCTTACCATATCTAGCCTTCAGCTTGAATTCCAAAAATTCTTGGTATTATGTGAAAGCTGGAATTCTTGTATTTAAAAAATGCAGATCAATTCATATGTCTTCTTTGTTTAGAAACATTACTGTTCATGCTATGCATTCAGATGCTAAAAACTTAAAATGGTTAAGGATATGTTGAAGTAATTTTCTTGACTGTGTACTGATAGTAACCTGTCTTTTCCTAGCCATGATTTCCTTAACCTGGACAAAGAACTGTTGTCATATACAGGGTGTCTATAAAGGGATGACCCAAAAATAATGTCTCTTAATTCAGAAGCAAAGTACTTTCCTGCTATGATACTCATCATGCAAAAACTCTACCTGCATATTTTTTTGTGGTAAGGTCTTTTTCATAAATATCCATGTCAGTCCTCCACATGTTCACCATCTCACTGGTGACACAATCCCAAATGGTACAAGGGTGCACCCTACCTCTGGGCTAACATTTCCTGTGTGTAGCTGGTGAATGCTTCCTGTAACCAGTTCCTTAAGTCTTGTCACATAACATAGTCTGTCGACATAAACATTTTCCATGATTTGGCCCTCTCCTCCATGCCACCTGCAGTGGGGTGGATTCCCTGGCCAACAAACTCTCCAAATCTCACACCTATGGACTTCTCTATCTGGAGTGTATGCCAAAGAAAAGGTCTATGCCAAGAGAGTGCATGCTGTGACAGATATAAGGAACCGCATACAGGAAGCACTCATCAGAATCATGCAGAAAATGTTAGTGAACATGGGAACAGCAATTTTGTACCACTGGATATTATGTAATCAGTGAGACTGTGGACATGTGGAGAACTGATATGGAATTTCTGACAAACGCCTTACCAAAAAACTTACAGGTAGGGAGTTTATGCATGGAGGATTTCATGACAACAAAGTACTTCACTACTGAGCTATGATATATTATTTTTGGATCATACCTTTATGGACACCCTGTATATTTAGTGGAGGTAGTTGTAAGCAGCATGGACCCAAAATTTGATTCCATTCAGCCAGAATCAAAGTTATTTTGTCATACCTTGCATTTGTCACCAATAGCAATGCACTTCTCATATTGAAGCCTTCCACTCTAAATACATCTGGATAAATTATAGGTCACTAAGCCTGTTATGAACTGCATGTAGAAATCAGTAGAAATCTGAGTTCCTGTGGGTTTTCCCAGATTTTTGGATATAGGGTAAAACCATTGAAGTTTGGACACCTATAACATACATTATTACAAAACTAAGAATTCAAAAGGTAGCCCTCAGAAGCAATACTTTCACTGCTAGGAGGAAATGTTTCTGAGGACTACCTTGCTAATTTTTAGTTTTTTAACAAAGTACACCATAGTGTCTGAATATTAGTTCTGCCTGAACCTAGGTGGTTTTACTCACTTATCAAAAATGAAAATGTTATTTCTTGGTGTCAAGCATTACTATGCCCATTCTTCAGGTATTTGATGTGGGAATTGTGCCAAAGTGCTCAGAAAAAGTCTTGAAAACCTTGAAAGAAAGAACCTGGAGCCTTTAAATTGGTGAGACTTTTGCACAACATATGCAAAGGAATTTTGCAAAATTGTGAAAAACTATTTTCTGAATTCTTTGTTTTTTCCTGTATTACACTTGAGGTGCTGTATGAAATCAGGCACTGGAATAATTTGCTTTGAAAACTTTGCTAAAAGCATATTGTGTCCTGAGATGATGTTTCCATGGTTTCTTAATACAGCTTGGAAACAGAAGACTAGAAAATATTGAATTCTGTACCAAGTAACAAAGATAACAAAGGGATGGAGTATCATCAACCTTCATGAGCAGTCATATAATCATCAAATTGTAGGAAAGTTACTGATTTGAAAACTTCTGATTAACAAAATTGATACTAATGAATGATCAAGTTTCCATGATGATACCCCTTTCTATTGGCCTCATTCATTTGGGCTTGCCAGGCTTAGAAGGAATAAAGTGGTGATTAGATTGGAATAGTCATCCTTTCAGACTCAGTGACATCATTTAGACTTCTAAATTGCCTTGAATTCAAAATTCTGAGGGGTAAAACAGTCATCTGAAGACAGGAAGATTCTTTTGATTCTCCTTAAAATGAGGAGAAGCTATTACCTTGTAATAATACCTTGTATTACCTTGGTAATAGCTATTAGCTATTACCCTAAACTCTGCATTTCAGGCTGACATCTTTATGGTGTGTATGAGAAGAATTTCAGGTCAATATGGCATTCAACATCCCTTCATGTGTGTAGGAGTATTTTTGACAAGACAAAATACCAAACTCAATGTCCCATTTTATCCATTTTTAGATGTTTCAGTTGGCCCATGCTGCTAGTTTAACTCATATTCATATTTGATTTTTTGTCTAATTTGGATGCAACGTTTTTTGAGAAATATTAATTTTTCATTGTGACTTGCATGTTGTGCATCTTTGCATGTCATTGGTGCTGTTTATTAAGCCCAATGTCTGTTGGAAATTTTATATTTTTTTGTTTTTAAATATCATTTTTGGTGAATGAATGGGCAAAGATTGCTGCTTGATACAAATGGCAAAAAGTTCCATGATTGTTCACTAAAAGTTTCCTGTAGAATTTGATCAATGTTCCCCTTTTTGTATGAGTATTATCAAAATTCAATGCTTTAATAGAAACTGGAAGTGTGCAAAATGCAGACAGAAAACAGCAATTAACAAGGTGCTCAGATGTCTTCCTCATTCAAGAAAATTTTGAACAAGATCTGCATGCATCAACTCTAAGAGCCACAAATGCTTTGAACATGAGCTGAACAACAATTCAATGAATTCCTGAATGCAGTTGAAATCTTCTGAGCACCTTGTTAATCACCATTTTCTCTCTGCAATTTGCACACTTCCAGTTTCCATTAATACTAGAAGGACTGGAGCAGCCAATTTGACTGCTGCATTAAAAGTAGCATTAAACTATTATTCAATATCATTTTCTTTGCTTTTTTTCCAGATGTTAAATGGCATTTTCAAAATGTTAAAATGTTCAAAATGTCATTATTAGATAGGAAAAGTAAAAACTGTGGAGGCTCTTAGTTGCCATGCAAGCTGAGTAAAGTGCAATAAAAATTGGCAAGCAGTCAAAACGATTTCCTCTGTACTTCTAGTGTTATAGCATTGTGCCACTTGATAATGCTCATATGAGAAGGCAGATCTTGACTGAATCGCAAAAAAATCTGATTTCTCAAAAACTTCGCGTCAGAATTAAATGAAAAATCAGCAAGTGTATGCAAAAGTTTCGAGTTACAGTAAAAATTGAATTTCTCGAAAACCTTGTGGCAGAACTCAATGAAAATTAGCCAAATAAAATGATAAAGTCAGCACTACTTCATTTTAAAATATTGCTGCACCTAGCAATCCCAAGGAATACTTATGTTTTCTTTGCTATTTTGTTCTACTGTTCTCATCTTTGACATAATTCACATGTGAATCAGTCTTTTGTGACATCATGGCAAGGAAAAGGTGAGGTACTGTTTTGGTAAAAAATTATAAGGCAAGTATTTGGAGGAAAAAAAAACAATACATTTCAGATCGAGTGATCAACTTCAATGCAGCAGAGCATCTTCCAGATGTCTTTCAAGAAGATAGACTCTTGGCCTCTTACATGAACTCTCAGAGCAGTGTCCAAATGCTTCACAGGTTAGTGAAATCTTCATTAGTCAGAAAGATGTATATAGAGCTAAATTTAACTGAACAGCTAGAATCTTTTTTTTTAGGATACTCTGATGTAATCATATTCACTCATAGATCATCACTTGTTTTTATGTCATTGTTGTGTACAGGGAGGAGATAGATGCAGAAGATCTGTTGGAAAGGCAGGCAGATGTGATCACATATCTGCAAGATCACAATCGGCACCTGAACCGGAGACTTGCTGACCTCACAGCTCAGTTGCAGACAGTTTCCAAGCCTGGCTAGAATCATGCACCTGCTTGAAGCTTCAGTGCTTTCAAACCATTTCTCATCCCATTTTGCAATATCTAGGATTCACTCATCTTCAGCAGTCAGGCTTTGACACTCATATTCTTATTTCTTTTGGTTTTCTTCTTTTGCTACCACAGTACTTGGTTACTTTCCTCTACCAAAGTTGCTGGAAATTTCCCTGTACATTGTGATATGTTGGAAATGAAAGAGATTTTTTTGTGTGCAATAAATAGTAAAGTTAATGCCATTTTTTTTTCTTGTGCTTCTGTTTTGTGTTAGCCAAGAAATGGTTGATATGCTTATGTTGTGATTATTTGTTAGTCTTCTCTATAGTGTCAGTAGTGCTACTATGCTTTTTGTGCCAAGGAATTTTGTAAATGGGATTGAATCTCATGGCAGTTTCCTCAAGGATTCTGCTTCTTTTACACCTAGGTTCATATCCTGGATTTTGCACCCTCCTCTGAAACTTTGTTGTTGGTTGTCTTAGGCTGTCAGTGTACATTTTGTAAGATTTCCCTTAAAATTCATGAGTTTTGGTACTCAAGATTTTGTGATTATCCTGGGCATTATATTTAGTAAGTCATTGAATACAGAACAATTCCATTTCTTTTTTTTTCTTTTTTTGGAGCGAATGCTAACTTTTTTTCATGTATGCAATGGTGACTATTTTTGGAGCTTCGGAATGATAGGGCATTGGTGTGGCAATAACATACATTTTCCATAAAATTTATTGTTTTCTTCTAATGTTTTTTGTTGAATAGATTCAGTTCATAAAAATATTTACATTTAGTCTCAGTGTGAGCTGTGACATTTATGGGTGCTCCTTTTATGGCTCTGTTGCTCTCAATGAATCCCTAGGGTCAACTAGTCTCTTATTTCAAAAAAAATTCATGGAAAATCTCAATGAGGATACTCTGGGAAGGATGCCTCATGTTTGGAAAGTGATGGAGTTTTGCTGCTGAACCCAGTCTCAGATTTATTTTATATACAAATATTGTGTGTGGTTGTTAATAAATCTCATGTATTTCAGATTTTATTTGTACCCTCTGGTCTCAACACTTCTCATGCTGAGGTGAGTCCAACCCAGGGTAGGCTTGGTTATGGGAGACCCAGGCCTGCCAGAGTCCATTACAAATGCAAGCCAGCATGGGCTCCATATGATTCCAAGTAGACACACTAGGGGATGGTGTAGTATGTGATGTGATTCCCTGCTTTGAATCTTGCAAGAGAGGAGCAGTGTCTGGGTTATGGATAGATATGATGCCAAGAGAAAAAAAAAAAACAAAACCCATAACCACCAAGACTTTGAAGATTTAAATGTAATCCTGCTTCTTTCCTTTGTATCATAGAAAGGGAGTAGGTGGTATGAAAAGGTTTATTGCCACAGCATTGACAATATCACTTCTCAGACCTGCAATCCTTTGTGAATTCCCATATTTCTACTTCTCAAACAGTGAGCAGGTTTTACAGATTCATTTTTGCCAGTTCTCTGTATTTTTTGTGTTTTGGCTTTTTATTGGTTTGGAAACATTGGCAGGTAAGAGGATCTGCATGTCATCAGGTGAGGGATCCTCCAGAATGACAACCCTCAAACATGTGGAGTTTGAAGTACATGGCCAAGTCCAAGGTGTCTTCTTCCGCAAGGTACAGGCATCCACTGCATGATCCTAGTTGAGTACCCTTGTAGTATAACAAGGACTGATGTTATATTCTTTCTTTTAGTACACTCAAAACAAAGCTAAATCTCTGAGTCTGGTTGGCTTCTGTCGGAACACTATTCGGGGCACAGTGGAGGGAGCAGTTGAGGGCGAGTCAGACCAGATTGACAGCATGTGAGATTTCTTTACTACCACTTGACTTGTTACTTTTAGTTATGTTTTATCTTAGTGAATGAGGTTGGTATGCACTCAGGGACTGTTCTTACCTCTGCTCAAACACCTGATCCTATTTTGAGCAATGTTCTTAGAGTTTCAAACAGGGATTAGTGAAAATTAGTAAAAACTTGGCCTCACTTATCTGGTATTGGCACAAACATTTGTGGGAGAAGAATGAAGTCTTGCAATTCTATTTTGTGATGAGCAGTCACATTGCCAACAATTGATTGGTCTGGCAAAAGCAACTGACCAGCATCAGGGAAATGCTGCTCTCACCAGCATTACACTTTTATGTAATGGTAAAAAGCTGCATTGACTTTTGTACAAAAAACCTATTGGTTTGGCATTAACAAGCTACTAGATCTGAGAATTTTCTTCCCTCCCCCCCTCTCAATTAAACTTTTGGGTAATGGCAAGATCCATATTGATTTCCTTGCTGGAGCATCATTGTTGGTCACTTCCTATTTGCATTTTATGAAAAAGTTGCTCAAAGGAATTCATTCATACCCATATACTGATTTTCCATAATATTTCAGTTATTGGCAGTTGTCATAAAAATAATGCTTACAGTGTCAGAAGTTCTAGTATATAGAAAATAATAATATATATATATTTTAAGACGCACACTAAAGGGAAAGCTTATGAGGAAAGAATCAGTGTCCTGCACAATTTTTCTCTGCGACAAGAATAAGGCTCCATATCCATGCTAGACTTGGAAATCAACATCAACATCATCAGTAACATCAACAATAATTAGTTCCATTAGCACATTCTACTGGTTGATGGTACACAGAGTACTTTCTATATTTGCTGGCTTGGCTCCTGTAAACCAAATGCTAACTTTCTGTTCACATGGATTTTTATAGTCAAGCTAATGTTCTAATGTTGTAACATTACTGTGTTGCAAAAGGGGCACTCTGGCTGCTGTTTTCACACAGATTCATTCTTATCATTTCAAAATGAAACATTTTGAGGATTTGTTTAATTTCATCATGACATGGTGACCAACAGCAATTGTGCCTCTAAAATTGGCTATCATTTATTCCTGCACAATGGAAGAAATTTCAAGCTTTTAAAGTGCTTATACCCATATAGCATCAAGGAAGTTTTGCAAAATATTCTCTACATGTCATTGAACCCATTCCTGATGCACAGCACGAATGACACGTAGAGTATGAATAACAAGTTTGCTCGATTTTTCATTCCCTTTCTAAAAGAAGCATTATATGGGACTTGCCAGTCACCAACGTGCTTCTCTATAAATAAATAAGTCATACATCAGTTCTGGATGTCCATGTATTTTTGTCTGACAAGTTGAGACTGGCTCATTTTTAATTTAGAAGCTTTTTTTAGTTTTTATGACAGATGTCTAATTTATTCAGACTAGAGATTCCCCTTCAGACTTTTTATCTTGCATCCCAGTTCCTTCAGAAGACAAAAATTATGTGATCCAATGTTCATTTTTTTTGTCGATGGATTTATCGAACAGGAAGGACTGGCTGTACACTGGGAGCCCTCATTCCCGTGTGTCCAAGGTGGATTTCCGCAATGAGAAAACCATCTCCTCCTTGTCTTACTCGGGATTCTCCGTGAGACATTGAAGATGCAGGAGAAAAGATGCTTCATTGTATGGCGCTTGTCCATTTCTTCCAAGGAGCATGAGTTTTTAATACATTTGGTGTGATATCTCCGTGACAATCTCCTCCAAGGAGTGAATGGAAATCGCATGAGTCGATATGTCGAAGAAAACTTGTGGTTTGTGGCATATCATTTATTATTCCCAGTGGTGTTGCAATAAGTCCATGTGATATTCCTTCATTAGTGGCTTTCCCCAAGAACTGAAACCTAGTCAACTCAATTGTTCCCATTCTGCATGATTCTGTGTCTTTCCATTCCATTTCACCGTGACCGATTCGATCGGCCCCGGGGAGCGTCTGCTATTATAAATGGATTAGTGTAGATGGGGTGGAAGAAGGGAGCTGTCAAAATGAGAGAGATTTGAGAAAGATTACAGCATTGATGTGTACTATTAAACTTGCGATGGCTAAGCATGCCAGATGAAACTCATCTGCAAGAGAAATAGAACCCATTTCGTACCGGTCTTGTAAAATCGGAGAGGACAATAAGAAATATCCAAACCAAGTACTCCAACCCCTCCCAGGGGATTACAGGGTCGTTTGATCGGCCAATCCTCTGAAGGCGAGGTAGGCTTTCAGTTCTTCCCGTTTGCATGAGGTTGGCGTTTCTATGTTTTTTATTTAATTGCTGTACATGACGTGTATGCATTGAAATCATAGACACCTGAAAGAAACATTCTCATGGATATGAAGCCTTGGATCCCTTTCAAGGGAAACATTTGGAAAGCGCTGAATTTCCCGGTATGTCAGTATGGGGAAAAAAATGTGCATGGCATCCAGGATTTCTTTTAAAATATCTCGTGCAGACTGGATGGAAAGGCTTTAGGAATCCGCACTTTTGAATGTTTTTCCTACGAATATTACCAGTGCTTTTGAACGATGTACTTTAAAGTTTTTGTGTAGGATTTTCCGTCCTATCTCGCGGTGCATTGCAACTTCCGGCTTGCGTGATACCCTAGGTAATAAGTTTTAACAAATATATTCCATTTTATTCATTTTAGCATGACCCCCCCCCCCCCTTATATTGACAGTGTCTATATCTATGTAAGCTTCCTCGCATCGATGACGTCGCACTACATGCTCACCCAAATGACAATCATCGCGTTCCATTCTGAATGAACAGTCGAGAATGAAGAGGGAACTCCCTCTTAGAGAGGGAGAGAACACCCGATCCTCGAAGGGCCAAAAATGACGTTTCATCAGTGTCATGTGTCTTGATCTCGTGATGGAATGAGCTATTTATGGATGAGTTGGAGGCCATTCAGCTAATAAATGAGGAAGCCCCCGGCGAGTTCTGCCTGCTGTACCTTTCAGGAAGTTAATGACGAGAACGAGACTTCGAGACATGGAGACCTTTTATCCTTATAACATGCATGATAAACATTATTAGGAATTCCCATTCGTGGCTGCCGACTTCACTCGACTATATCGCTTGGGTTCTGCTTGAACCATCGCTCAATTTCATCAATAAAAAATATTCATTTTTCGTATATTTTTTTCCAAGTGCAAGTATTCTGGCAAAAGAAAAAAAAAACATTCAGGATATGGAGGGCCAGTTCGGGTCTGCCCAAGTATTTATATGCTCTAGTCATGCAGGTATTCGTAAAGTGATGATGCAAGTACATCGATAAGAGTAGGCGGGTATTCCGATAAATAGACGAAATTTCGAGCATGTATATTATATGGTTGCATCACAGCACTAGAAAGTCTAGATTTCACTCGAATCACCCTCGTAGATTTCTCTCGGAAGAATCATCCGATGCTCTCGAGACCCCAATCGATTCCAGAAAACAGAGCTCGCAAATTAAATTTCATCAAGATCGACCGATTTCTTGGAGTTGCAATAACTCGAGGCCGGCGGCAGTTCGTCGCGGTCGCGTTCGCAGCTGCCGCCGCGGAAATCCTCGGGGGAACGAGCGGAACGCAGTCACGACCGACTTTTGTCTCCATGGAGACGCTTCCGCAACTTTTCCCACGCGGAATTCCATTCGCGGGATGCATATGAGTTTATCAAAGACCTAATAAAAGGGTAATAAATGCAATGATCGCGGAGGCGCACCGATCAACACGACCACGGCGTGGAAATATTCTCATCATTCCGTTGATTCGATTTTCGCGACTTCCCATCAGGGAACTCCCCCCTTCCGAGGCCTTCCTTCCGATTCCCCTCTTCGAGGCCTTCGATTGACTTTGGATGGAGGGAATCCGTTGGGAGACGTGACTCAAAATATGCATAGTCAATCTCTTTGCATATTTCTCATAAGACAATACTCTTCGCTAACGTGTTCCATACCCATTATGCCAGCAATGGTTGACAGTAAGAGTTTGTTGCATATTTCGTTTTTATAACGCAGCTGCTGGTCGTCCGTGTGGGCGTCACCATCACGGACCCCAGGGGGGAAGGGGGGGGGGGGGGGGGGGGGGGGCCCC